CCCCAAAACCCCAAAACCCCAAAACCCCAAAACCCCTTACCTCAAAATTCTTTAAATTAATAAAGAATTATTAAGATAAATAATAGGAAAATAAATGCCATTTTTAGACTACGTACTCCCAGATACATTGAGTCCATTCGTCAAGAACCTTATCAATGGTCTTGTAGGATTCCACCTCTTAGCTTTCGTTATATTTATTATCCTCTTGGTCAGAAGCTTTAACAAAACCCCAGAAGATAATTTTAGAGAATAATATCAAAGCTTTGAGAAAAAGACTGCTGCAGCTAATCCAAAGAAGAAGAACTTAAAAGATGATTGAAAGTAATCCATGTGAAGGAAAATGTGAGTTAACTATCCAATTAATTACAAGAAATCTTAACAATTAAGAATTAAAAGTCTTAATACTCCATTTATACACAAACAATCAAAATATCTATTCACATGAATTATCATCCTACTCACTAAATGTTTCTATAGCTTTATAATAAGTATTCTCATTGCATATTTGAATAGACAATAAATGCCATCCAAATAATCAAGAATCCACCTAATGCGAGATAATGTTTCAATTAATCACTGTGCATTTATTGTTTAATTCTGTCTTCATTTAATCTCTAAGCATTAAGCGTAGTCTCAATCAGAGTCTTTACAGATTAATCTTTTTGCTTCTCTACTTCTTCCATTTTTTTCTTTGCCTCATCATATTTAGAGCTATCTTCTCTCGTAACATTGAGCTTGTTTTTTAGTTCTTCATCTGTTAAAGGCTTTTTACCCTCTTTCATTCGTTTGATATCTTCAAGATTCTACTATTGAATCTTTTTAAACTCAGCCAAGACTTATGGATCTTTTAGATCTATATTATTTTTCGCAGCAATATCAAGCATCTTTTGAGTTGGACGATTAAAATCTAAATTCATCACATGCATTAAATGCTCCTTCGCAAATTTTGCCTCTAGTAGCTTTGACTTAATCATCTTTGCTTCCTTCATTCGACCCGTTTTCCTGAATAATTTATATGATTCTTCTGCTTTGTCTATCATTTCCTATATATCATCTACTTCCTTAAAATGCTTTTTCTCTGAAGATACCTCAAATGAGAATTCAGAGAGTTTCTCTTGCATCATTTTCTTAACTTTCCTATCCATTTTCTGTTTCTCCTTTTCATATTCTTGATCTTCAATAGATTTGTAATTGATTGGCTCTTTACTGATTTTGTGATCCACATATTCACTCACAGATGATTAAGAAGTAAACATTTTTCCATAGGTATCTTTTTCTCTTTTCCGATTGATATCAATGAGCCCTTAAAGTCTTTTAATCTCTCTTAGAGAATGCTTATTGTTTGGATCTAATTCTATTACTCTTCTTAGATCAACTAATGCTTTTCTGAAATCTTCCACTCCCGAATTTATTGGCAAGGCTTGACCTCTTGCTCTTCTGTATAGGGCTTTGGTATTATATGGGTCTAGTCTTAGGGCTTCATCACAGGCAGCAACTGCTGTCTCATAATCCTTTGTTTTTATATTACATGCAGCTATATTCAAGAACATTTGAAGTTTTAATTTGCGGATTTATGTTTTTTCATAATCATTGTGCCCAATTTCATCAACCTCCCTTATTTCATTGTCATTAATACCCTCTTCCTGCCACTTTGGATTGTAGCAGATGTAATATCTAAAAATACTGAGAGCCTCCTCAAATTTTCTGCAAGCTCTATCATAGTTTTGGTTTAAATATTCAAAGTTAGCTTCATTTCTGATTATTTCAAAAGAGAATATCTTTGGATAAAAGTCTTGCAATCTCACAGCTTCAAGTTTAGTTGAATAGTACACGCCTGCCTTTAAAAACATTGGCAATTTTTCAAATTTTTTTCTTTTTGATTCCAACTCAGCTGACTTGATAGAGACTGCAGCTTTCATCATTCTCTCGAATTTCCCCATTCCTCCCTTTGGATTATCCTCAGGATCACTATCTTTTTTCTCAGGGGGAGGAGAGTCAGGAATTTTTAAATCAGCTACTTTAGAGAAGGTGTTTCTTGCAAAAGAAACTTCATTTTCTGGTTTTTTGTCTAATTTCATTATTTTTAATATTATAGCAAAATTTAGGCACACTTATCTTTTGGGGTTTTGGGGTTTTGGGGTTTTGGGG